GTGTAATACTATACCTTTGTGAGGTAACGTAGATTACGTTTTTTTTGGCGACATTATCAAAACGTGCATATCTTCGTCATATTAACAGATATCTTCTTGAAATTTCTTCCGTCGGCATTTGAAGTACTGGTTTATATTATACACGTGTAATAGACACTCCGACAATATGGAAACTTATTTTATTAATGTGCTAATATGCCGTTGTAGTCAAGCGACAAGCATAATTTGTCAAATAAACAATTTTTGGGTGCCTGCTGTCAGCACAATTTTCTGAAAACCAATTATTATACCCAATGATTTGATCAATTATGGTTTATATTTAAGAAGAAAAAGTACGGAATGTATACATTTGTTCAGATGCTGTAGGTACAACACAAAGACACACAAATATGTCATATGGACACTTTAATGGAGAATAGGTGTTATATCTGCATCTTAAGTAAAATGTTTTAAAAACTGTTTTTTTATTTCTTACACTCACTCCCTATGCTTAAATGCACTGTGTTAAGACAGACTAGTGGTTGGTAATGCCTAACCAATAGCTGATATATAATAATTAGTACATAAGAAGGTATAAACCAATTTCTTACTTTTGAAAGCCCAGTGAAAAGATTGAAATGAAACATTTACATCTCAGACAAGGATTGAATAGATTGAATAAGAAACAATAGGAAAACACAAACATATCAAAATAATCGTTAGCCAAACTCAAATTCAATATACTAAACCGAAATATAAATAAAAAAAGATATAGACACCAAAATTTTCTGAAGAGAATAAGACCATGTGTTCCGGAACAAAAAGCGTCTTCTGCTTCATCGACGACTACACCCGACAAGCTAGTGTTTAGTCAATCCAAGCAAGTAATGTCACGTTCAAACAAATGAGAACGAGGTATAATTACAACGGAACAAACAGGCAAACTAACGTGCATTAAACACGTCCAGCTTCATATAGCTCAAGAAATAGAATATTTCTTAATGACATTACTATGACGACTGTAAAACCTCACTAAAATCTTCACCAGTCTGCATTCCTTGAAACGAAGTGTTGTCAGTTGCCGACATCTTGCACTAAAATCGAGTAATCGGGAACAAACCCTTTGATATCGAATCAAGTGCGACATGTAAACACCAAAAGTAGAGAAGACTATCGAGTCCCTGTATTTCGAATCAGGTGGGAATATACAGAGGACATAGTCAGTAAATCTCCTGTTATTCAAAGACAAGATGTTATCAATATATCTGAAAGTACAATATAAGATATCTGACATTATCTATATGATGTATTTGTTTTGTGAGAGTATCTTATAAAAGATGTATGGCTGTAAGGGATGACTGCTAACTAGTAACTTTGACCAGAGATTCGCGGTTAAGATCATTATTAATGAGAAAGCTCATAAACATAAAGACAATGTCTACGGTATCTTACTTCTTATGCGTAAATATAGGATTGCCATCGCTTCGTGAATAAATGTCATCTTTAGGTTGGCGCATCTGTGAATTACGGAAGTGTATTCCGGCCACGTTGTGTTTTATTTTAACTCTATATTTCGAGATAGTAACTCGAAATTTCGAATTAGTAATATGAGATTTTGAGTTAGTAATCCGAAATTTTGAGATATTAACCCGAAATTTCGAGATAGCAACTCGAAATTTCGAGTTAGTAATCCGAAATTTTGAGTTAGTAAGTTGCTATCTCGAAATTTCAAGATAAAATAAAACACAACGTGACCAGAATACGCTTCCGTAGTGTATCACGTAGTATTAGTGTATTTTGCTCACACACACACACACACCCTCACACACACACACACACACATACACACTCACACACACACACACACACACACACACACACATATATATATCAATTATGAGTTAACAACTAACAATGCACAAAAATGCATTATATTCTAAATGCATATGATCCTTTAATTATTTATAGCAAAATAAAAGGTCTAACATCAAATCGATAAGTTCTTATTTGGTAGACAGATGACATGTCACGTGATACTGAGTGCTCCAACAACACTTCAGTAATTGTTGCGGAGGCTGTGACGTAAGTGCGTGTATACTGTATATGTCTAAATATCAGAGGATTAATACGACATTCACCTACTACTTATTTTATATTCTAGTTGCCTATAATTGTGTTTGGCTGTGATTTGCTAACATCATTGTTTATCGGACGGACTAAGTCCTGGCCGGTGTCACAATCATGGACCTTATAACCATCAATGTTCGGGGCACCATTTTTATGACCTACACATCTAATATAAGGAATATTCTCCTTACTTCTCCACTTCTTAATCTCAATGAACACTCAAAGTATTATAACAAAGAACGTAAGGAGTACTTTTTCGACAGGAACGCGTCTGTTTTTGAATCGGTTCTGGATTACTTTGTTACTGACAAACTTCATGTTCCAGCGAACATTTGCTCTGAACGTGTTCAAGAGGAGTTAGAGTTCTGGGGAATTCCTCCCAGACACGTAGAAAAATGTTGCTGGAAGACGTTTTTCCAGTCAACAGAGGATATGAACACACTACAACAGTTACTTAAATACATCCCCTGTGTCCAGAGGCGTGACCGATGCTGCAGCTGGACAACCGTGCCAATGCTGTCACAAATATCTGATGTTAAAGCCCGGATGTGGTCGTTTCTTCACGACTACACTTCATCAACATCAGCAAAGGTATCTTGTTCCGGTTCGAGTTTACACTGGCGTGGGAGGCTTGTATTATTGTTAAATAATAGTTGAGTTGTGTTTACTCGCTATCTTATAGAAATATTTATTATTTTACTGTATAATTAAGGTACAGTTGAACCTCATTATCTCGAACTCTTATAACTCAAAAACACGGTATAACTAGAAGTATTTTGTCGATTCTGGCCACACTAAGCATTAGAATTTTGCTTAAATCGAATTCTCGAATAACTGGGATCAGTTTTCCAATGGTCCCGCCGACTTTATTTGGAAAAAAATCTGACATGTAAATTAATTGTCACATAATTGGAATTTTATATATGATGATAGTTGTTAAATGTAATCAATGATAAAGTTTAAGATTCTCCTGTATCACAACTGTATTTTATTTGTGAATACTACAATAGATTGTATCGTATTGTAGCTTTGATGCACCAGCTGGTATATTAGTATTGCTCTCTGTACAGGTAAACTCGACACCATTGGAGCGTTGTTTACGCGGTAAAACATATCTGTTACATAATTGATGTTCATATTGCATATACTGAGTTTTATATGATGAAAACAGTTTATTCTATTGGATATGCTCTATTGTAAGCACGGAATTTGCTATCATTTGATTAAATCATGAATTAATAAGTCTTGTTTAACTTTATCAGTCTGGCAATGTAGATCGAATTCATCAATATTCAATTTACTGGGAAAAACCTGCCTGGGAAAATATGAGTTTCTGAGTTTCATATCCGCGAAAATATTATGACGTAAAAATTCTAGTAAGGATATAAAAAACCACAGTAGTTGATTTTGTTGAATCTCTTGTGGTGAAAATCCTTCATTTTTAAAGAAAAAATATTCTAAATAAATATATTGCAATAATCCATATTTGAATAATATTTTAAACATATTCGAATATCAAGAAAATGTGATATTTAACTTAAAATAGAGGTAACTATAAAATAACCTCAAAAGTCACCCGCTTTAATTAAGTATTTAGTATGATGTATGAAGAGGATAACAGGCGATCCAGGTGTGCAAATCACAAAATGACAACATAACATTTATCTTATGGCACTGTGACAGAAATATCGTCAGGATAATTGAAATCACTCTAATCATAATTTTAATCCTTTTAATTTCAAGTACTTGAACAAAACCGTAATGTATCATTGTAATGTAAGTTCATCTTGAAATATCTTTGAGTAACGATAACAAAGGTCGATGATTTAAGTTGTCAAATTTCTTTGCCCTTTAGGTTTACCACTCGCTGTTGTGCCTGACAATCGTGCTGTCCACCATTCTGTTGCTGGTTCAGACGGTCGGTGATTTGCGTGTCGAACATTCGGCTGTTTCCGCATTTAATAACGGTAGTTCCGAGGCGCTCCGTAAGTACTGGAACACTACTCCACATGTAGCTGTTGTCTTCCTGGAAGTGATCACAAATGCATTCCTGAGCATTGATTGGATTCTCAAATTCATCGCGTGCCCCAACCGGAAGTTCTTTATGAAACACTTTCTAAATGTTACAGATTTAATTGCATGGTTGGGTGCTTGGGCTACCCTGTCTTTTGACATCAGACCGGATGCTTTCTTCTTTTCTTCTAATCACGTAACGGCAGTCGTACTGCCAGTGTGTGTACTCAAGGCCATTCGAGGGTTTCGTGTATTTCGATTGATATCGGACAATTGTGGCGTAAAGATTCTGATGCTGTCTGTTCGTTCAAGCGGACGCGAGCTTTGCATCCTCCTCATGACCTTCTCTTGCGCTGCCGTTGTGTTCGCTATTCTGCTATACAGCGTGCAATTACAGAGCAATTCTCCGATGTCACCTCGCAATGCATTAGTCGCCATCTGGTGGGCGGTCATCACCATGACGACGGTCGGATACGGAGACTACTACCCAACAGAACCACTGGGACGTATCGTAGGAGTGATGTGTTCGATCACGGGAATCGTTCTCATTGCACTTCCTGTTGCCGTGACGTCATCGACATTTAATGACCACTATAACTTTAGTAAATACAGAGCGTGTTATCAGGAATTATTGGACAAGGACAAAAAGACTGTTCACAAGAAACATAAAAACGATAACGAAGTTACTCTATTTTAGACCATATACAAATGTATCAAAAATAATTGAGTCATGTGTAATGTCATTGGTTAATCCTGAATCACTCACAATTTTTTGGTTAAGATAATTAAGCATATGATAGAAAAAAACTTGTTTATACTGATGAAAAATAAGAAAAAAATATGTGTTTTTAAGTAAATATATCAAGATCGTTAAAACTTTAACATGATACGTTTCGATGATCAGAGCATTCATTAGAGTTTCAAGCCTAGGCAATGCATACACTGAGAACAGTCACACGCTCTTGCTTTTATAGGTAATGTTCTATGTACTGTATCAGAAAATCACAGTGTTTCATGCTAGAGTCTGGAATATCTCAAAATAGGATGAAACAGTTTGGGTACAATTAGTACAATTAATTCTTGTAGAGGCGCTTTCAGCTGGCGAACAAAGTACGGAATCACTCATATACTGGACGACCACGTGTGACGTCACGACAGCAAGATACTTATAAACGGACATCGCATTTGCGTAATCAATTTCAGTCCTCTTCACTGACAGCTAGAATCATTCCAAAATCTAGATGAATCAGTTCTAGTACCGTACGACGACCTCATACTGCGCGTGCTGTTGGGCATATCATCCGCAGCAATGCAGCATCATGCTACCTTGGCTTGGCATCTCAAGCCAAGCATGTTTGGAATAGAGCGACGTCTGTGATTTGTTATACATAACGACTAGTTCATACCTTAAACAATTTGTTTACATTTTGAGCTATTTGGTTAAGTAAAATGATTGAACTATAACATGCCACAACTGTCCTTTCTTGATGTGTGAGATCAAAAGATTAACTCGTATAACTTGTTTTACTTGAGGCGGATGATTTATTTCAAATTAACAGGATAGTTTGACTTGCTTTGATTACTTATTTGATGTTGCTTGGAGAGCTTGGATAATTCATTAGATATGACATGGCTAGCTTGGATAACATGTTTGCTGTTACCTGGCTAGCTTGGATAACATGTTTGCTGTTACCTGGCTAGCTTGGATAACTTGTTTGATATGACATGGCTAGCTTGGATAACATGTTTGCTGTTACCTGGCTAGCTTGGATAACTTGTTTGATATGACATGTCTAGCTTGGATAATTCATTAGATATGACATGGCTAGCTTGGATAACATGTTTGCTGTTACCTGGCTAGCTTGGATAACTTGTTTGATATGACATGCCTAACTTTGATAACTTGTTTGATGTTACCTGGAGAGCTTTGATAACTTGTTTGATGTTACCTGGAGAGCTTTGATAACTTGTTTGATGTTACTTGGAGAGCTTTGATAACTTGTTTGATGTTACCTGGCTAGTTTGGATACTGTATATATTCTATATCATTATTTATTATTCGCAAACAGGTTACTAGTAGTCTTAACAATCTTTGGATAGTCGTGAGTCCTGAAAAAACTAACCTGAATGTAATGATCACTCTCTATAATATATCCTCAAATAACCCTTTCGCTGTATTAACTTAATCATATTAATTACATTAATCTCATTACTTATTATAGAGATCAGCTTATTTTCAAGGTGTTTAGAACTTCAGACTAAATGTGGCACATTATTTCTCTATGCTGTATGCATTAACACTCTTTTTCTGTACAGATGTGTTCTAATTTTAAAAAGAATAAGGATTCCATTTCACAAATGATACAAAATATTAAGACAATTTCTATAATTATCAGATGTAATTTTATCTTGAATGAATTTTAATTGTGACTTGTTAATAAAGATGAAACTGCAGTATGATGAAGTTTCGTTCATTATTTGAATCTCTCTGTTGTATCTTATTCTAAATCTTCAGTAAATGGCATTGAGGAGTTATCCATGGCTTATTTTCGAGACCGACTTAATTTTAAGGATTTTAGAGTAATGTATTTGATAGAAACAATCAGTGTAAATCAAAACTATTGTTAGGTTATTAATATATATAAATGTATACTACTGTGTACTATAGAATTGATAAAAACACTACATAGTTAATGTATACACAGTTACAACCTGCAGACCTAGCTTAATACGTACAATACGACATATCAACAAAATAATTGACTGATTCTCATATTTACTCCAATGAGAGATACAACAGTTACTCGATCCTACACTCTGTTAATGAATAATGCTTTGATATTTACACAAAAACTGTCAACGCCTGTCAAACGACGAAACAAAGTAACATGCCATCAAATATTTATAAACTGGTCGTTTGAAGAACATCTTGCTTGTTCTCATAGATTGTAGGCAGTTACAATGATACTAAAGTGACATCAGGCACTTAAAGGCCCATGGTCAGTAAATGATACAACACAACGCGAAACTTTAAGAAAACATTTACATTGTGGGGGAAAATCTTCCAAGAAGGAACGTGTGTACACGCATGAAATCATGGCAGTTCTTTTCTATGGATTCAATTTTGTTTTATATCAGAAATGGGACAGCATCAAGTGTTCTCTTTCACCAAACCTTTCATGAACAGCAACAAAGATAAAGTGTAAATGCATTGATAAAAAATTGAACAACAATATATGGATCATAGCTTTTTAAGCCATTCATAGGTGGATATGAATGTTATTATTTCTAGTAAATAGGATTGCCGATTATATGAGATGTTAGTTTTTGGGCCTTTGAACATAATCATAATACAAACTCAAATTTAATAAAACTAGAATATGAACAAAGGAAATATTTACTCAGTGAGTTATGAAAAATGAATAAGACCAGGCGTTCCGGAAATCTACGCTTCATCTGATTCGCCGACAAAAGGCATGTAGATCTTGCTTAAACCAAGGGGCACAGTAAGTTCCCATAGGTATGCCAATAGTCTTTTGAAAGATGTTACCATCAAACTCGTTGAAGATGTTCTAGACCAGAAACTCGATTATTTTTATGATTTCGACCTCCATATAGTTCTTCTTTAAGATGTAATTTTCACGAAATTTGTTCAGTTTAGTTCACATCCATATATTTGCTCCGTCTTTCATCTTTTTTGGAACAAAGGCGTTCCTTTACTTTAGAAATGTTTATGATTGTGTTCAGAGTAAAATAAAGATAATTTCTTTCAAAGAAAAAAACTTTTTTATATGAGGATGTTGAGCATTGGCCAAAAACTCTGCGAGCTTCTTTAAAATCCAAACGCCATTAATTCCACTTCTTTAGTATCACAATTAGACTAATCCATATTTGATTGTATAGAATGGACAGAGTTTGTGCAAAGTTTTGTTCGAACAGCTAGATGAGCCAGCAATAAACCTCTGTGAAAGTAGGGAATCCCATTTAAACTGGAGAGGTCTGCATCCTTATCATGAATACTCTCAATGATTGTAATACTGAATTGTAGTTATTCAGTATTTCATCAAAGGTTGCATAATGTATACATGGAGTTTCCTTCGTTATCAAGCAAACCTAGTTCTTTTTGTACGCAGCAATTGTAAAAATGTTTGAAGACAAGGATCTTGTAACTGGACGCTCTTTCTGCACGCACAATAACATAATTGTCATGTCAGTCTTGAAGTGTGGATTTAATATCAGAATTAAGGCACAATGACTTTTTCATTTTATATTTCAACTCTTTTGAGAATGAAGGACCGAACAGATTAAACCAATCAGAAAGAGAATCCATCGCAGCAGTGTCTCGTTCCTACCAATTCGTGGGCATAGTTTTCATCTTTCTATTCACATTCCATTTCATGTGCGGAGTTTTCACGATATTTACGACTGGTGGAAAGCTTTCGAAGCTTAACATTTTGGATAATGTTGAAATTGAAATCACCAGTTACTAGGTGCTCCTTTGGATAATAATTAAAATGTATAAAAAGCTGTCGAAAAAATCTCGGATGCAATTGGAGTATATGTAGAAAATTTGCATTGGAAGTGAATCAACCGAATTTATCATCTGGATGGTATAAAATAGTTTATTCTCATTTAATGTACCATATTTGATAGAAAAATGCATTCATGTCACAAGTACCTGTTGGCACATTACATGTTGCGCACAATGACTCATAACCGCCCACACCATTTTGTTCTTCATTCTAATCTATGGTCCATTACTCTATTGGTTACGATATCCTGTTAAATGATATATTTGTGACAGTGATATGTAACCTGCTTAATAATTTAGACCCGTTCGTGACATCAGTATTGAAGCGTCAACCACGCATGTCCTCGTGAACAGCGAACCTTGGCACATGATTTAGCCGTATCGGTGTCATTGTGTGACGATAATACAGTGGTATTGGACACTATAACGTATACATGTATACACTAGACGTATTCTGGAATATTGCCAAGAGTAGCTTGGTCTTTGCTTTGTTGTTTGTAAATCTAAATTTGTTTTAAAAGGTACTATTTACTTGTGTTTGGTGGAGTGCATTCCATCTTGATTTTGACTTTACTGTCAGCCATTTTTTATTTTCCTCATTCACCTCGACTAGGCTTAACACTTTAGGCTCTTATCATTACTGACGAATCCTTAAAGGACGAAACAGCTGCATGATGCAGCTTAACTCATTGTTCATTCCTTCGTATGAAAAGGTGTTATGAATGCTGGAATGCTACTAGCCTCATTATATGGTTGTCAAAATAACATTCGAGTTAAAACAAGTGAAAGGTTGGATATATAATTGAATATTCTCACTAGAAATTGTTAATTACTAAATGGCATCTTCTATCGGGTCCGGTCGAAGTAGTACCGTGCGACACCAACATACTTGCGGAATCCCACCAAAATTCGCTTTTAATATGTACACCGAACACCGTATCTCTCACAAAGTTTACCGAGACTTCAGACCTGGCGATGTAAGAGTCTACAGATGGTATATGTTACAAAATTACATACAATATGTAGGGAAAATGAAAATTAATTAGTCCTTCTTGTGTTGAAAATTCTTTCCTTTCTTTCTAAATCAATGCTTTTTTTCCTTAATTTTTGAATACCCGAATTTCAATATATCCTTTTTCAATTGCTATTCGATTTTCTGAATATTT